CCCCAAAACCCCAAAACCCCAAAACCCCAAAACCCCTCATTCTCAATTTGATCAATATTTATTAATAGTTAATTAAAGATATAAATGGAGTCTTCTGAAGATAAAAACACAACATTACAAAATAATCAAGAGAATTAGGAGGAATCAAAAGAGCAAACTTAGTAATTGGAGTAATATGACGAGTAAGTAACGCATGTTGACTCTAAGAATTAAGTCTTTGATGAATAAGCAAGTTTAAATCTTATGAAATACCTGGAGATGATGGGGCAAGAAAAACTTTCATTCCATGAGAGAAAGCAAATAGAAAAACTAAAGCAGCTTTATTCAAAGCATGATTTTTGGGATACATAGCCAGTCTTAACTACTGCTAAGTAAAGAGGACAAGTAAGTTATCTATGGTATAATTTATTGATTAGGAACTGAAAGAAGGTGAGATTGTTCATAAATAGATCAAAGATATATCCAATGAACCACTCCCTCTTCCAGCAGGCTTTGAATGGTCATCTATAGATCTTGCAGATGAAAAACAGGCAACTGAAGTTTATGAATTACTAAGGGAAAATTATGTAGAGGATAGTGAAAATACATTTAGATTTGATTACCCAATTGACTTCATAAGATGGGCTTTATTGGTACCTGGCTATAAAGTAGATTGGTTTGTGGGAGTTAGAGTTTCAAAGACTCAAAAACTATTTGCATTCATCTCAGGGATTCCAATAAAAACCAGAGTAAAGGATAAGACAGTAAAAATGGCGGAAATTAACTTTTTATGCGTTCATAAAAAGCTTAGAACAAAGAGATTGGCTCCAGTATTAATCAAGGAAATTACAAGAAGAGTAAATTTAACCAATGTTTGGCAGGCTTTATACACAGCAGGAGTAGTCATTCCGACTCCTATCACTACTGCAACCTATTGGCATAGATCTCTTAATGTTAAAAAACTTATTGATGTAGGATTTAATTAACTTCCCTCAGGTATGCCAATGGCAAGATACTAAAAAATGCAAAAAGTTCCAAAAATGAGTGAGGTTTATCTTATTGGAGAAGTCAGACCATTGGTTTAAAAAGATATTGCATAGGTTTACAAGTTACTAGTAACCTACCTTGAGAAATATTAATTAAAGCTAAGGTTTAGCGAACAAGAAGTATCTCACATGCTATTACCAAGAGATGGAGTTATCTATTCTTATGTCGTAGAAAATCCTGAGAAAAAGTAGATTACAGATTTTGTTTCATTCTATCGCTTACCATCATCTGTACTAAAAAAGGTTGGCCATAATCATGATCACATAAATGTTGCGTACTCTTACTACAATGTAAATACTGATAATAGTCTATTAGAGTTGATGAGATTCGCAATTGTTAAGGCAAAAGAAGTTGGATTTGATGTATTCAATGCACTTGATATCTAGGACAATCATGAATTCCTTACAGAATTAAAGTTTTCCCAGGGAGATGGATATCTTCACTACTATCTTTACAATTGGCACTTATCTCAAGACTTAGGTTCTAGTGATGTAGGTATCGTTTTAGTCTGATTAATTAAACTTATTTTCATCTCCTCTAAATGTTGATTTTAAATATTATTTTATGGGGTTTTGGGGTTTTGGGGTTTTGGGGTTTTGGGGTTTTGGGG